AAGGAACATACCTAAACATAATAAAGGCAATATACAGTAAGCCAACATCAAACTAAATGGAGAGAAACTGCCAGCGATTCCACTGAAATCAGAAACAAGACAAGGTTGTTCACCCTCTCCATATCTATTCAATATACTACTTGAGGTTCTAGCTAGAGCAATAAGACAACAAAAGGAGATCAAAGGACTGCAAATCAGAAAAGAAGAAGTCAAACTCCCACTGTTTGCTGATGATATGATAGTTTACATAAGTGATCCCAAAAATTCTACCAAGGAACTTCTACAACTTATAAACACTTTCAGCAATGCAGCAGGATACAAGCTTAACTCAAAAAAATATGTAGCGCTCCTGTACACAGATGATAAATGGGCTGGGGAAGAAATTAGAGAGTCAACACCCTTCACAATAGCCACAAATAGCATAAAATATCTCGGAATAACTCTAACCAAACAAGTGGAAGACTTGTATGACGCAAACTTTAAATCTTTGAAGAAAGAAATTGAAGAAGACACCAGAAAGTGGAAAGATCTCCCATGCTCTTGGAGAGGCAGAATTAACAAAGTAAAAATGGCAATCTTAACAAAAGCAATCTACAGATTCAACACAATGCCCATCAAAATCCCAGCAAAATTCTTCAAAGACCTCGAAAGAATGGTACTCAACTTCAAATGGAAAAGAAAAAAAAAAAAAACAATAGCCAAAACAATCCTGGGCAATAAAAGAACTTCTGGAGGCATCACAATCCCTGACTTCAAACTCTACTACAGAGCTACAGTACTGAAAACAGCCTGATATTGGAAGAAGAACAGACAAGACAACCAATGGAACCGAGCAGAAGACCTGGATATCAATCCACACATCTTCGAACACCTGAGTTTTGACAAGGAAGCAAAAAATATCAAATGGAAAAAAGAAAGCATATTTAACAAGTGGTGTGGCATAACTGTCTATCAACATGTAGAAAAATGAAAATAGACCCATATCTATCACCATGCACAAAACTCAAGTCCAAATGGATCAAAGACTCAAAATAAAGCCACTGAACCTTATAGAAGAGAAAGTGGGAAGTACACGTGAATGCATTGGCACAGGAGATCACTATCTAAATATAACCCCAACAGCACAGACACTGAGAGAAACAATTAATAAATGGGACCTCCTAAAATTGAAAAGCTGTAAAGCAAAGGAGACAGTCAACAAGACAAAACGACAGCCTACAGAATGGGAAAAGATCTTCACTAACCCCACATCAGACAGAGGTCTGATCTTCAAAATATACAAAGAACTCAAGAAACTGGACACCAAAAGAACACATAATACAAAAAAAAAAAAAAAAAATGGAGTACAGACCTAAACAGAGAACTCTCAACAGAGGAATCTAAAATGGCTGAAAGACACTTAAGGAAATGGTCAATGGCCTTAGTCATCAGAGAAATGAAAATCAAAACAACTCTGAGATTCAATCTTACACCTTTAAGAATGGCCAAGATAAAAAACACTGATGACAACTTATGCTGGAGAGGATGTGGGGAAAAGGGAATACTTCTGCATTGCTGGTGGGAATGCAAGCTGATACAACCCCTTTGAATGTCAATGTGGCAATGTCTCAGATAATTAGGAAACAACCTTCCTCAAGACCCAATAATACCACTTTTGGATATATATCCAAAAGATGCTCAATCGTGCCACAAGGATATGTGCTCAACTATGTTCACAGCAGCTTTGTTTCTCATAGCCAGAACCTGGAAACAACCTAAATGCCCCTTGACCGAAGGATGGATAAGGAAAATATGGTACATTTACACAATGGAGTACTACACAGCAGAAAAAATAGCGACAGCTGGAATTCTGCAGGAAAATGGATGGAGCTAGAAAATTATTTTGAGTGAGGAAACCCAGACACAAAAAGACAATTATCACATGTACTCACTCATAGGTGGTTTTTAAACACAAGGCAAAGAAAACCAGCCTACAAACCACAATCCCAGAGAACTTAGACAACAATGCAGATACTAAGAGAGACTTACATAGATATAATCTACATGAGAAGTACAAAGTACAAAAAGACAAGATCTCCTGAGTAAATTGGGAGCATGGGGACCTTGGGGGAGGGTTGAAGAGGGGAGGGGAGAGGCAGGGAGGGGAGCAGAGAAAAATGAAGAGCTTAATAAATACCAATAAAAAAAAATTTAAAAAAAGTCAAATGCCTCCAAGCACCATCAAGAGGCAGGAGGATCTCTACTGAGACAAGCCTGGTCTAGTTAGTGAACAGTGTTAGAGTGAGACCATTTCAGGAAAATAAAAAATGAAATGTTAACTTAAAAACCACTCCATAGGGGGCTGGAGAGATGCAGAGCGTGCATCAATGGATAAAACAGGACTGTCATATCCTGCCAAGACAGGGTAAAATAGTTTTGAAAAGTTGCTTGCCTTTGAAAATGGTATGTCAGTTATGTTAGGCCTTATCCAAAGTTGGTTGCTTCAACGCTGCAAACGTGACTTTGGGTGATTGCCCAGGTAGCTAGTTGTCTCTGTTAAGATCACTGGCTGTTCCTCCAGAACTCAGGTCCTATTCCAAGAACCCACATGAAGCTTACAAAAATCTGTAGCTCATCCCAAGGAATCTGACTTCCATGGGCACTGGGTATGTATCTGGTACATAGTCATGCAGGCAGAACACCCCTACATATAAAATTACTTTAGAAATAAAAACCATCCCCTGGAGATAACCAAGTCTTACAGACATGGCAATTATTAGTTTTCCAAACTGCCTTTAGGAGACTTGAGGTGGCAATCGCCCCCTACACACACACACACACACACACTCACGCATGCACGCGCGCACACACACACACTTTACTGTTTCTGTCCAGTAAGATGAAGTATGATCAGTCTCAGTATTGTGATATGGAGATCCAAGCTGTGGCTGCAAACTAGAGCATGATATGGGCTGTTTTATGCAGAGATAGAGTTTTCTGGAAAAATGCAAACTGCTGAGCAGGTCGGGTACAGAAAATGAAGGGGAGTTTGAGGGACAAAACTGTCACTGGTATGCATGAGACCTCAAACTTTCCTGGTCTAGATTCCAAAGTTTAAAATAATGAATTTTTTTCTCTTTATGAGTGTGTGATGCTGAGAATTATATGTGTAGGCAAGTGCTCTACCACACAGCTCTGTCCCCAGGCTACAACTCTTTCATCTTTTTTTTTTAAACATTTTTTTATGGTTTATTTAATGTGCATTGGTGTGAAGGTGTCAGATCCCCTGGAACTGGATCTTCAGACAGTTGTGAGCTGCCATGTCGGTGCTGGGAATTGAACCCAGGTCCTTTGGAAGAGCAGTCAGTGCTCTGAACTACTGAGTCATCTCTCCAGCCCTCATCTTTAAAATGAAACAGCAGCAGGGACAACTTCTCAGTGTATCTTACACTCCCTGGGAAAAGAGGAGCTAAGAAATAACCAAACAAGTCAGGTGGTGGTGGGACTTTCACCCAGCATTGAGAGGGAGAGGCAGGCAGATCTCTGAGTTCAATGACAACCCGGTCTACAAAGTGAGTTCCAGAGAACAGCAAGGGCTGCACAGAGGCAGAGTGGTGTATGCCTGTTGCAAGTGCCAAAAACAAGTAATAGATAAGGACTGGGGTTATAGTCACTGCAGAATACTTGCCTAAAATATAAAGCCCTAGCTAGGTTCACTCTCCAATACTAGGGGGAAACTTGTAGAAGGTCTCTGAGGACTCACGTAGGAAAACCATGGTCTCCTCTCTTGAACTATCTGCAGCTTGCCCAACCTTTTCCCTAGGATTCTCAGCATCCCACCTCCTCACATTCATCCCAGAGAAATAATTCTGATTGGGCTACTGCAGGATTGGTTCTCATAGCCTAGATTCTGTTCTTAAAAAGTCCCTCATAGACCCACCCCCCACCTTACTGCAGCATATGGGCCACCCCTGCTCACCAACCTCTGCCCTGCTAGTTCCCTCTGCTGGGAGATTAGCGTAGTCATTTCTGTCATCTTACCCAAGCCCTCAGTGATCTCGCACCAATCCCAAGGGCCTGTTAAAGGTGTTGGATATACAGTGCTTTTGAAGACTCCCACAGCTCATGTCTTATTTCTTTATTATATATTCAGTGTTCTGCAGGCCAGAAGAGGGCACCAGATCTCATTACAGATGGTTGTGAGCCACCATGTGGTTGCGGGGAACTGAACTCAGGACCTCTGGAAGACAGGTACTACCACCACCTGGCTCATGAAAGCTGATTCAGTCCAAATACTGAGGCAATAAGGTAAAGACAAAAACTGTTTCATGAACGGTTTGCAGCTTATCACTGTCCAAACACAAATACTATTTTAAAAAACAATTTATGGAAGCCGGGTGGTGGTAGCACACTCTCTACAGAGTGATTTCCAGGATGGCCAGAGCTAAGGGAAAGCACCGCTACACAAGCTCAATCGGCAGAAGCCCACGAAGGCAGCAGGAGAGAACTGACTCAGTTCTCAGTCCACATACATTAATAATAAATTAAAATAAACCCCAGGCTTGGTGGCACATCCGATGATTCTAACTCTACACTTGGGAGGTGGAAACAGGAGGCTCAGGCATTCAAAGCTAGACTAGATAGAACTATGCAAGATCCTGTCTCGAGAAAAACCACCAATTTGTGATACAGGCCTATAGTCACTCACCCGGGAGAATCCCATGATCAGCTCTGCCACAAAACAGTGAAAACAGGTTTGCATTTAGTTCAGAGGTAGTGTCCACTTAGCATGTACAGAGTGTTGGACGAGGCCAGCCTAATCTACAGAGTTCCAGGACAGTCAGAGTCACATGGAGAAATCCTGTCTCAAAAAACCAAAAGAATAAAATAAAATAAAAGTGCTGAGCTCAAGCCATAGCACACCACACACCAAAAACAAAAATAAAACCAAAAAACAAAACCTGTGTAAAAGCCTGTTCCAATAATTTTTTATGGAGAAAAGACTACACCAAAACTATGAATGTCATCGCTATATAAAATCATTTATTACATACAGGCAATATTGGTCCTTACACTACACAATACCAACAGTACAAGTTTAATCTTTCAAAAATCATCATTCAAACAGCGAAAGACCAAGAAATAAAATTTGTGTCAATTGATTATTTTCAAAATATTCTTGATGTACATGGTCATCAGTTCCCTTACCACAGTGAAACATACAAATACAGAAAATACCCCATTTAACAGATAGTAGTGTTAAATGGTTATTTGGCTTAAAAATCTGAGTTAAAATCCTTTTTAGCAACCTACATACAGATAAGTAGCAAACTTTATTATATTATATAAATTCGTTCCACTAAAACATGTAAATAATTTCATCCATTATGTATTCTGATCCCAGTGTCCACTTATTCTCTCTTGGTCATGGTTCTTATCTGATGGACCAACTCAGAGAGTCATCCTAGATGAAAACTTTATCCTCTTTCTCAACACACCTTATCCAAAAGTCTGTCCAACAGACAGCAACCAGCAGCAAGTCACTTTGCCATCTGATGCCAGTGGCTCCGTGAGAGCTAGGCCAGGCCTATCAAACAGCCGTTTCCTATCTACTGTGGGTTGCTGCTCAGAACGATAGATACCAATCAAGCAGAAAACCTGCGGCTCCTCTGCTACGTGCTTTTTCAACACCTCCAATTTTTCTGGTCAGTGCTCTGATTGGGTTACATAAAAGCCAGTATGTTAGTTTAAATCTTTAAACAAAAAACTATATTTTCCAAAATCATTATCATTTGGGGCAATTAAGTGATCTTTTCGTGCTTTGCTGAGTTTCATCTCTAGGGTCTTCTTTCTTTCTTTCCATTCAAGAAGTTCAGCATTTCCATGTGCAAATTTACAGTTGTTTCCTTCTGTGCAGGAGCCATTCATATACCTGTCAGGAGGAGGCAGCGTGCTTAGCATCCATGAGACAATTAGAACACAGTTTTCCTTAACTGATGACCCACCTACCTGCACATACCTTCTGCAGTCACAGCTTATCATGTCCCACTGTTTTTGCTGCTGGGGATAACAGACAGGACCTCCTGCCTACTAAGTACATGTCCCTTCTAACCATTTGAGTTGCATCCCAGACCCAGTTGGGAAGCTTAAACCTGGGAAACAAGTCTTGAATAGGCACAATATACATTACAGGGAAATTAGTACTATGAATTTATTTCAAAGAATTTATCAGAAAGTACAGACTTGGGCTGGGGGTATAGCTCAGTGGAACAGTGCTAGGCTGGTGTGTGGACAGTAGAGAAGGGTCGCTGGGTACCCTCTTGTACCACTCTCCCCGTAATTCCCTTAAAGGGTCTCTCACTGAACCTAAGCTAGGCTGGTGATAAGCAAGCTCCATCAACCATCCTGTCCCCGCGCTTCCTACTGGCAAACATATCTGGCTTTTTACATGAGTTCTTGGAATTTGAACTCGGGTCCTCACCCTTACGCAGTAAGCAGTGTTCATACCTGCTAGATCATCTTCCCAGCTTCTGGTTGGGGATGGGGAAATGTAAAAGACTAAATAAATTAAATTAAAAAAAATAAGAAAATCACTCAGCTGTGGTGGTGCGCGCCTTTAACCCCCACACTCATGAAGCAGAGGCAGGTGTATCTCAGTGAGTTTGAGGCCAGCCTGATCTACAAAGCAAGTTCCAGGACAGCCCAGAGCTACACTAAGAGAAACCCTGTCTCGAAAAAAATAATAAAAAAGAATTCTTTTTGTTGTTTGGTTTTTTTCAAGACAGGGTTTCTCTGTGTAGCTCCAGTTGTCCTCGAACTCATTCTGTAGATCAGGTTGGTCCTGAACTCACACGTCTTTAATCCCAGCAGAAGTAGGCAGATCTCTATGAGTTCAAGGCCAGCCTGGTCTACAAAGTGAGTTCCAGGACAGTCAGAGCTGTGACATAGAAAAACCCTGTCTTTTGTGGGGGGCGGTTCATTTTTTATTTTTTCATTGAGATATTTTGTAGCTCAAACTTGAAGTAATTTCCCTATGATGGCTTCCTGCTGCTAGGATTATCGGCATGAATCCCCATATCCACACCCACTTTTTATTTAATTTTTTTCTAAGACAAAAGTATGATATAGTTATGCTCCTATTTTCTTTCTTTCTGTTAATTTTTTTTCAGGATATATAAATATGCCTAAGTATATATGTGTACCATATGCATGTACGTGCCTGCAGAGACCAGAAGAGCATGTCAGATCCCTTGGAACCTGAAATTACAGGCGATTGTGACCCGGGTCCTCTCAAAGAGCAGCAGGTGCTCATAACTGCTGAGTCATTCCGCTAAAGGCCACCTCTATTTGATGACCATTTACTGTGAGCAAAGATTGTGACAAAAGATCAGAGAATTAGAGATGAGAATCCAAAGATGATAGCAATACTGGTCATCCTCAGTGTAGAAAACCTTCTCTTTGTGCTTCTCCAAGGAGATATGGTGAGTTTGGATAGGCACACCTGCACAGCCTCTTGTCCCGGGGCAGAGCACTATAACATAGGTGCACCTGCATATTCCCATCCTTCCAGGGCCTATAACGAGACTACCACCTACATCCTATTCTGTCTACAGATACAATAACCAAAGAAATACCATGAAATCAGCTGTTTTCACAGGGCCTACATACCTCTCACAAATACTGAAGTTCCCAGTGGGGAAGCGGTGCTGCCAGCAATACTGGTCATCCTCAGTGTGGAAAACCTTCTCTTTGTGCTTCTCGGAGGAGATATGACCTTGCCATTGCTTCTCACTGTTACAATTCTTCCCACACATCCAGCAGTGGAAGTCCACCTAAAGCGTGTGGGAAGATGTGCTGCCTGAGAGCCTGCACCTCCCAATGCGGCCTGAGCTCAGCTCAGGCTCCACTCTGGAGAAGTCAAGCAAGGGACATATAACCCAGAATCAGAGTTAGCACCAGCACAGGACCAACTACAGTACTGGAACATACATGAGTGGATGGGTCCTGTGCAGGTCATCTAGTTAAGTTCTGACAAGGAGGCCAAGAGAAGCTGCTGTACAAGCAAAGTCATCTGAGAAGCAGATAAGTATTCTGGGCAGAAGTTTACACCCCAAGGAAAAGCAGGACATGCATTAAGGTCAGAGTGGGCCAGCTCCAGAATAACCAACAGCAATTCTATACACAAGCCCCGACTATACCAGATTTGTACCAAGTACCCAGAAAGTAAATATGCTGGCCCTCACGGACAAAGTTACACATCACAAAGAGGTTTAAGTATTAGGAAAGATTCAAACTCATATGTGTCCTGAGCAGAGACACAAAAGACCAGGACAGACACAGCCCTGAAGTGGTGATGGACATGGGTGAGAAACAAAAGACAAATGGCAGCAACACACACACTCCTGCTAGGTATAAACATGCCAGGCCAATACAAAAGAAGAATAACTACATATAATGGCCAGGTGTGGTGGCTAATGCCTGTAATCCCAGGGCTCTGCAGACTAAGAAAACCATTCAAATTCAAGGTCAGCTTGGTGGGCTACAGAGTGAACTCCTGCCTTTCATTTAAAAGAAAAAAGGTCACATCACTGATACATAAACATATAGGGAACTATACCCCCTGGATCTTGTTCTTCTGGGAAGAACAGACACACTTCCAACTTTATCTGTAGAACCTTCACCTATTTTACAGACACCAAGTATTAACATCACTTAATGTGGAATAGTAGACTCAAGCCATTCATGTTTTCTTCACTTTTGTACAGGTCTCATTGTGGAGCTCTGGCTGACCTTAAACTCAAGAGATCACCCAAGTGCTGAGATTAAAGGTGTGTAACAATTTTGGTTTTAGAGACAGGTTCTCTCTCTCTTTTTTGTTTTGTTTTTCTGTGTAGTTTGTGAGCCTGTCCTGGGGTTCATTCTGTAGACCAGGCTGGCCTTGAATTTAGAGATCTGCCTGCCTCTGCCTCCCGAGTGCTGGGATTAAAGGTGTGCACCACCACCACCTGGCTGAGACAGGTTCTTACTTAGCCCAGATGACCTCTAACTTGCCAGGTAGCCAAGGATGGCCTTGGATTTCTGATACTTCTGCTTCGACTTCCCAAGGGTGCTGGGATTACAGGCATGTAGCACCCAGTTGATGGGTGCTGGGGATTGAACCCAGGGGATTGTGCATGCTAGGTAAGGACTCTACCAATGGAGCTCCATCCCAACCAAGCTTCTTTATGCTTTTGAAAATAAAAATTCAAGCAAGAATATTTCAGGCACAGGAGACTTAAGCTAATGGCAAAAAAAAGCACAGTAGAAAGAAGACACCAGAAGGTGCCAGAGCCAGGCTTTGGAGAAGTGAAAGGAGAAAGTGCAGGAGCAGCCCCGAAGCACAAGTGAGTTAGCAATGGTACTTACAGAAATTTCAGCATAATCTGTTGGCATATGGATCTGCTTCCCATTTTCTTTGTTACAGTGACTGGCTACATCATCACTTTTTTCACTTTTTTGATTCTTCAGCCAGAGTTCATAAAACTGCTCTATATCATGTACTGAGGAAAAAGGAACGGTGTTTAGAAACAACCAGGAAATGCCATTCAAATACACAAACAAGCATGTGTACTTACTATCACTCAGTACATTTTCAAAACAAACGTCATGGTGACTCATGCCTTTATTCTTAGCATTTGGGAGGCAGACACAGACAGATCTCTAAGTTTGAAACCATGCTGACCTACAGAGCAAGTTCTGGGACAGCCAGGGCTACACAGAGAAACCCTGTACCCCCCAATAAATAAATAAAATGAAACAAAACAAAACTAAACAGTTATTACATTAGACCTGAGAGATGACAAATCCAACCTAAGCAGCAGATAAACTTTCAGGCAGAAGAACCAATTTTCAGGACTTGTTAATAGTACAAAAATAGCTTCATAATACCTTCCTGTATTTGCAAGACACTTGGAAGTGTTTAAAACTCAGGACCATCACAAGACTGTGCACAGAGGCCTCAGCACTACTGCAGGTCACCCTGTGCTACACTAACTCTTCAGTGCTGTCACCACAGGAGGTGCCTTACAGGAAGAGAACAGTTGCAGCTGACATACATCCTGGTCATTGTGAAAGATGGAAAACCCCACAGAAGCAAGGCTTGACCTTGCTAGGGGCCCACCAATCAAGCCACAGTCCTAGAGCATCAACATACTGGGGTGCAATGTACAATATCACTATGACAGGTTCTGGACAGTGGTTGCAGGCTGGTTCCTGGGTAAGGACAGGTACATTCTACATTATTGTCAAGCCTAAGGCCAGGGTTTTACTAAAGTCAGCTCTGCTCCTTTCTGGCTGGATAATGCACTGTCTAGTCCATTACAGGCTATTTAGAAGCATCCCTGGACCCTGTCTTTAGAAGCCAGTAGCACATCTTCCCGGGTCATGGGTATGACAGCATCTCCAGACAGGCCCAGATGTTCCCAGGGAAGGAAAACTATGCAGCAAAATATGTTACCAGCTGAGAAACAGTATTAAAAACTCTGGTAGTGAGATCTAGTCTAAATTTGGCTTTGAAACTTTCTAACATTCAATCATCAATCGGAGATGAGGCATAAAACTAGAGATTGTTCTTCCTTCAGAGCGTGGCGGCAGGAGTCATGGAAGACTCCAGACTCCTGACAAAGGAAAAGCCTCAGGAAGGCCTACTTTAAGTAGAACAAGAGGGCATCCACTCCACACAAATCACATGGCAGGTCAGCCTTCATTCCAAATGATTCTTGTAATAGAGGGATTGGATGCATGTACACACAGTGTGTGTGTGTGTGTGTGTGTGTGTTTTAATTAAAACAAAAATTTCTGTAGGGATTGTGCTGGCAAAACTGGATGTCAATCTGTAGAAGAATGAAAATAGACCCATATCTATCACCATGCACAAAACTCAAGTCCAAGTGGATTAAAGACCTCAATATCAATCCAAACACACTGAACCTGATTGAAGAGAAAGTGGGAAGTACTCTACAACATGTGGGCACAGGAGACCACTTCCTACGTATAACCCCAGCAGCACAGACAATAAGGGCCTCATTGAATAAATGGGACCTCCTGAGACTGAGAAGCTTCTGTAAAGCAAAGGACACTGTAGCTAAGACAGAAAGGCAACCCACTGACTGGGAGAAGATCTTCACCAACCCTGCAACTGACAAAGGTCTGATCTCCAAAATATATAAAGAACTCAAGAAACTAGACCGTAAAAGGCTAATCAACCCAATTATAAAATGGGGCACTGAGTTGAACAGAGATCTCTCAACAGAAGAAGTTCAAATGGCCAAAAGACACTTAAGGTCATGCTCAACTTCCTTAGCGATCAGGGAAATGCAAATCAAGACAACTTTAAGATACCATCTTACACCTGTCAGAATGGCGAAAATCAAAAACACCAATGATAGCCTTTGCTGGAGAGGTTGTGGAGAAAGGGGTACACTCATCTATTGCTGGTGGGAATGCAAACTTGTGCAACCACTCTGGAAAGCAGTGTGGAGGTTTCTCAGGAAATTCGGGATCAACCTACCCATGGACCCAGCAATACCACTTTTGGGAATATACCCAAGAGAGGCCTTATCACACAACAAAAGTATATGCTCTACTATGTTTATAGCAGCATTGTTTGTAATAGCCAGAACCTGGAAACAACCTAGATGCCCTTCAATTGAAGAATGGATGAAGAAAGTATAGAATATATACATATTAGAGTACTACTCAGCAGTAAAAAACAAGGACTTCTTGAAGTTTGCAGGCAAATGGATGGAAATAGAAAACACCATCCTGAGTGAGGTAAGCCAGACCCAAAAAGAGGAGCATGGGATGTACTCACTCATATTTGGTTTCTAGCCATAAATAAAGGACATTGAGCCTATAATTCGGGTTCTTAGAGAAGCTAAATAAGAAGGAGAACCCAAAGAAAATCATATAGGCATCCTCCTGAATATTAACCTTCATCAGGCGATGAAAGGAGACAGAGACAGAGACCCATAATTGAGCACCGGACTGAAATCTCAAGGTCCAAATCAGAAGCAGAAGGAGAGAGAGCACAAGCAAGGAACTCAGGACCGCGAGGGGTGCACCCATACACTGAGACAAGGGGGATGTTCTATCGGGAACTCACCAAGGCCAGCTGGCCTGGCTCTGAAAAAGCCTGGGTTAAAACCGGTCTCACTGAACATAGTGGACAATGAGGACTACTGAGACCTCAAGAACAATGGCAATGGGTTTTTGATCCTACTGTACCTATTGGTTTCGTGGGAGCCTAGGCAGTTTCGTGGATGCTCACCTTACTAGACCTGGATGGAGGTGGGTGGTCCTTGGACTTCCCACAGGACAGGGAACCCTGATTGCTCTTTGGGCTGTGGAGGGAGGGGGACTTGGTTGGGGGAGGGGGAGGGGGAGGGAAAGGGGAGGCGGCGATGGGGAAGAGACAGAAATCTTTAATAAATAAATAAATAAATTTCTGTAGTGAAACTGTTTAGGTTCAAAAGTAAAGGTCGTCTGAGGCGCCTCTCAAACCTCATCCACCTGATGGACCAGCGAGGCAATCCTGTTTAAAGTCACACCAACTGAGCTATCCCGGGCTTCTCTCTTATAAGGAAGATGCCTATTATACCCAGGATAAGGAACTACAGATTCACACCCAAATGTGGTCTAACCAAACCCACATCAGAAGTCAATTTCCACAGGTCGGGCAGTGGTGGCTCATGCCTTTAATCCCAGACTGGTCTACAGAGCAAGTTCACAGAGAAACCTTATCTAAAAAAGTTTAAAAAAAAAAAAAAAAGTCAGTTTCCACACCAAGGAGGTCACGGTCACGTTTCCAGCTGCAGCCAAAACCATGCAAGCTGTTTGCTGTGTTCATGGGGAACTGAACTTTACAGAAGACAAAGGACATAAATAGTACGAACTTACTTCTATTATCCTTCATGTAAGTCCACACTTCACGTTCCTCATGACTATGAGCAAAGGAACAGTTGCCAACATACTGACATTTTTTTCCAGAAGCAATATGATTGCATAGCTGTGTGAAAAATAAATAAATAAATATATGTATATGTATAAACACACACGTATACATATATACACATGCACACGCATACACTTTAAAACAGGGCACTGCTAAGTATAACTAATGTTTACATTTAAACAAAGCAAGTGTTGCTATCAGTGCTTAGTAGTACAAACTTCAAGATTAATTCCATTCAAATGGATCATAAGCCCAAAATACTTGAGATAGTGACAGCAAACATTTCTATTTCAGAATTTCCCAAAGAAAGTGAAGCACAGAATTAAGTAGCACAGATTTCCTACGAAGTCAAATACTCTACGGAGCACATCTGATGCCCTGCCTGTCAGGTGGCTATTGCTCTCTTCCTAGAATATTCAGGATGCTTCCAAATCAGTCCTGGGAACAGAAAGAGACTATAGCTTGCTCCAAGTTACTAGACACTGCCGGGAAGCTTCCAGACTTAAAGTGCTAATGACCCTACACCGAGAGCTAACCTTAGCCACAACTCACTAGACATAGTGTCTTTGAAGACAGCTACACTAACCAGGTCAGGGAGTTAAGAGGCTTTCAAACAGAACTCCTCTGGTTATGTGGGATTTTTAATCAGCAATGGAAACAGGGTGCACTAGTAAAAACACGAAGTGACAGTAATCATCAGAAGTTTTCCCTAAGAATCACTAGTCTCCAAGAACAAGGAAAACCTCCATCACCAAGAAAGCGCATTTCTAGGTCTCGCCAGCTAGCTGGTTGTGATACATTAACCCTTAATTGCTACCATGGCTATGTCTGCTCTTCCCACTATTCATCTTACAGAACTGTGAATGCTCAGCATTTGCTTTTGCAAAATCCCAACACTAAATTTTCTCTTGGAATGAAATTCAGTAATCCCACATGAAAACCTACAAGAGGTCAACAGCCTATTCAATAAGACAGTGTAATCACTAGCTAGGGCACATTCTTTTTTCTTCCCTCGTTTGAGACTTTGAGACACGGTCTGTTTATGTAACCCTGACTGGAATGGAATTTGCTTACTTTGTACACCAGGCTGGTCTTAAACTTGTAGTGACTCTCCTGCCTCTGCATTAACAATCCTGCCTCTACATTCTGAGTGTTGGAATCACAGGTGAGCTGCCACTCCTGGCTTACCCAAAGTCTTTCAAAGATAAGAAACAGGGAATACAAGGACAAGACCAGGCACTGTGCTGGATTTCAAAGACTCCCATGAGATATTACTGTCTCTATGGCATAATGATCCCAATTTAACAGATGTGCAAATGAAGCCAAGACATGGGACAGGGACCTTCTGAAAGATTATTTTCTGCACATTCTTACATACTCACATTCACACACACACACACACACACACACACACACACACACACACACGCGCGCGCACAGGATTATCTGACTGGAGGAAAAGAGGCAATAAGCTACTGAAATGTTATGTGATAGAGCTCACCACATTGAAGATTAAATAAAAATCAACAGCCCCAAACATCTGCCTCAGAAACTACAATAAGAATCACAGTAGTAATGTGGATTGAACTCAGGACCTCACACACGCTAGACAAGTACTCTATCACTGAGCTACAACTTAGCCCAGATGCATGTTTTAGCGAAGTCTCTGGTACACATACAACCTTATCCTTTTAATGCCCAAGATATCAAGTTTCCAATAAATCTCTTAACTTTTCATACAAAAGTTATCTAATTCCACTCTAGACAAACAGCCTTGCAAAGACCGCCTTGTGACTAAGTTAACAGCTGCAAGCCACACACAGGTGATGCAGAATTCCCTCACTTTCCCTCAAGTCCGGTTATCTTTTCACTCTGTCCAAGTAATCTATGAAGTACCAATCAACATAAAAACTGCTGGAGTCACACACATACACCAAAGGGCAAGCAAAAAGCAAAGACAAAACAAAAAAACAGATTCAATTTCAGCAGCACTTAAAGGGTTTTGAGCTTCATTCTGAATTAGCACTAATTTCTAATAATTGGAAATGCCTAATTTAAAAAAGTGGCTTAAAAATTACGTATGTACATCAAACTGTAAAGGCATTTGTTTCTTTGTGGGGAGAGGACGGATGTTCTTCCACTTCTTACGTTCAAAAGACATCGCTCTCATCGCACGACGCTCTTTGGTCCACCTAAAAAACATGGAGTTCAGAAAATACAACACTTGGGCAAAAGACGACGTAACCTAAAAGGAGAGGCACAGCATGAGCACCCAAGGAGGGATCAGAGATTTCTTGTTTCACCCCTTCTGCGAAATGCCTTATGGGTCTATGGCTTCACGTTCTCTTGATCTTTATCAGCACTGACTGAATTCTAAACAAAGAAAACAGCACTTGTGAACTATCACCTGCTATATCCTAAAAGCCTCTCCCCTTTCACTTTGTTCGTACATCTACTATTGACTTTCCTGTCCTGGCCTCCTTTCTACAGGCATGACTGCACCCCATGGAGTGCAGGGACTGACAGGCATCCACACATACTTACGAGTGCTGTGCTTTGGCACTGCAGTACTTTCTGTTCTTGTCTGGTTCAATGACTTGACCATTTCTCAGACACTGAGCACATACAAATTTTATCTCCATATTAAGTAATCCAGGCATTATCTGATTGCCAAGTACCTTAAACAATGAAAGACCAATTATAAAAGAAAATAATTTCCTAAACCAGCATATTAAATTGCAATGCATTTGTACCACAATAGCTTAGTTGTCTAGATCCATGACTTGACTAATAATATATGCGGATAATTACTCTAAACTGTCTCATATACACAAAAGAATCTGATCAAAACTGACTATACACACCACGCCTCAACTCACAAAAGCTAGTTTTTTTGGTACAAGCCTTTAATACCAGACTTGGGAGGCAGAGGCAGGTGGATCTCTCAGTTTGAGGCCAGGCTGGTCTACAGAGTGAGTTCCAGGACAGCCAGGGATATATAAAGAAACCCTGTCTTGAAAAATAAACAAAAAATTTAAAAAATAGATGGTGGCGCACGCCTTTAATCCCAGCACTTGGATCTCTGTGAGTTCGAGACCAGCCTGGTCTACTGTTGAAATAGGAGCGGCGGGGCTGTGTCCCCAACACCCCGGCCGCTTGGCTAGCTCATGCCCGAAATAACAACACACAAACTGTATTCATTTAAGAACTGCTTGGCCCATGAACTCTAGCCCTTACAGGCTAATTCTCACACCTGGACTAGCCCATTTCTAATGATGTGTGTAAGCACCCCAAGATGCGCTTACCGGGAAGATTCTAGCCTATGTCCATCCTGGGTTGGAGTTGCCTGGGAGAGCTGAGCATGGCGTCTCTGCTCCAGAGAGCAGAGCTGTCGGTTCTGTCCGGGAGCAGAGCAGAGTCTGACCTCACTTCCTCTTCCGCCCAGAATTCTATTCTGTTTACTCCTCCCATCTATGTTCTAAGCTATGAGGCCAAGCAGTTGGTTTATTATAATTAACCAATGACCTTCCTCCATCAGTCTACAAAGGGAGTTCCAGGACAGGCTCCAAAGCCACAGAGAAACTCTGTCTCGGAAAAAAAAAAAAATTTAAAAAATAAAACAAAAACAAGACAGCTCCTTTTGGAACTAACTACTGGAGCTGAGTGGCTTTCGGGTGGTGAAGAAGAATGAATGAATGAATGAATGAATGAATGGCTTAACAACTTAACCAAGGACACAGAAACAAAACACAGCCCATCTGTCTCTTAAGCAAGAATTGCCAAAGTCCAAGACCCAGTGTTTCCCCAAATAAACTAGAAAAGAAAGCAGTGCTGTATGTCTTTAGCAGACATTACAGGATGCCATTTTCTTCTCTATGGTGATCAATGCAGATAACTTTTTCACAGGAGAGTACTCAGTGAAACAAATACTAAGGACTGCAAGCATGAACCTGAACCTGTCACCAACTCGGCACCAACTAGGCAACTCCAGAAAGGCGCCAATTCACAAGGACACGAACAAGGGATAATACCTGAGTCCCAGGCATGCTTGCTTCCAAACTTTTCCAATACTGTTTGGATTCTTGAGCAATAACATCATGGGAGATACCTGGGAAATGGATAAGTTTCTCTTAACACAGCACAGTACCCACCCATTTGGGTCAGTGGCACACAGAACCCTGACTCCCCCATTCTCAGGCAGCCAGATCCATCAAAGACAAATGTACCTTGCATTACATTTTTCAAATAGAATATTTACAAGCACAGTTCTTTATACCTTCTGAGGAATCCTTTCTCCATTCTTAAAATCCATGCTACATGTAAATATCAACCATTAACTGCACGAAACCACATCCAAAATAGGTAACTCTTTAAAACAAACACTATAGTAGCCACACATGGTGGCTCTAGTCCTGTAATCTCAGCTGCTCAGGAAGCTAAGGCAAGAGGATTCCAAATTCAAGATCAGCTTGGGCTACAGAGTGAGTTCTAGGCTAGCCCAACAATGTAGTGACAGAAACAGTGAAAATGGACTGGAGACGAAGCTCAGTGGTCAAGAGCTTGCCCAGCGTGCACACAGCCCTAAGTTCAATCCCAATGCTGGTCCTGAGGGTTGGAACTTCACTTTTTTTTTTGGTTTTTCAAGACAGGGCTTCTTTGTGTAACAGCACACTGACATATTTTATTACAAGTAATTTATTTACTCTGTTCTGTGCACAAGGACAAGGGGAGATCAGATGACAAGTGCAGGAGTCAGTTCTCTCCTTTCGTCATATGGACTCCAGGGTTATCAGGCTTGGCAACAAGTGCCTTTGCTACTGCTATCAAATCAACTAGCCAAGAAGGTGACTCCCCTTATGACTGTTCTGGCATTCCCCGACTCCTCATACAGAGACAGTAACAAGCCAACACAGACCCACCTCTTTCATGTTGCATTATCCATACTTTCAATTCAATAAGACTATGGGCATAGAAGCACTCATCTTCCCTTAAGCAACCGTAACGAACCTCATGTCGACAAAGATCAAGCTGACACTGACTATGAAAAGAACGTATTTTGGAATATTTTACTGTGGTCTCTCTCAAAATGTGGACCAGCCTGCTGAAAAAAAAAAAAAAAGAAAGAAAGAAAGAAAGAAAGAAAAAAAGAAAGAAAAAAAGAGAGAAAGAAAGAAAGAGGGAGGGAGGGAGGGAGGGAGGGAGGGAGGGAGGGAGGGAGGGAGAAACATTTTAATGCTGCTCTTCCAACTCTGAATAACCATATATATACATATATATATATATACACACATACACATACACAATGTCAAGTTCTAGTCAGAAAAACTATTTTATTAAAACTAGTGCCAGAAAAAATATGCACATAACTAATTTCTAATTACAGTTTAAACAAGAAAAATCTAAACGCATGTCACAAGAAGCTGTAAATTAATATGATCTTCTATATTAAATAATCTAGTAATTCTAAGCAATTCAGTTACTTAATTCTCAAATGGGCAAAAGAAGCATTTTTAAAAACTTTTTTGCCTTTTCTATTACATTTATTTAATGTGTGTGTGCGTGCGCACATGTGTATCCATGCTCTACATTTGGAGGTCAGAGAACAACTTGGAATAGGTTCTGTTTATTCTACCATGTGGGTCCTGGAGATGAACTCAGGCCGTCAGACTTGGTAAAAAGTGCCTTTGCCTACTGAGTCACTCCACTGGTTCACTGCTGTGCTATATCGAGACCGCCTTCTAAATGAGAACCTAGTTTACCATGCAGGCCATGCTAGATTCAAACCTGTCATCTTCCTGAGTGCCGAGATTACAGGCATGTGCCATAACACCCAACTAAAAGACATTTAAAATAGTTATTGCTTCTCAGAAGAACAGAAGAGCAGGAAAAATGCCTTATCCTGCCTTTTGTCTTTCCTCCTTTATTTTCACTGAGGCAGTGTGGTCTCACTATGGAGCCCTGGCTGTCCTGAAGTCCAGGTCTACCTAACTTTGCCTCCTTTGCTAATGTTAACTGTGTATATAACCTAGTCTACTATTGCCTTTATTAGATCTATGAAAATCTATTTTTTGTCACTATAAAAATGAGAAATCACCAACATACTTATTGTCCTCAAATTCATGCTTTGTAACCGGGTGAGAACAAGCAGTGGAATTATCCTTATTTCTTTTGCTTATCATTCTAGGTTTATGATCAAAACATTTCTGAAATAGAGAAAAAAAGAAAATTATAACACAAATAAACACAAGTCTGAGTTCTGTGCCAAGAATACTGCCTTAGTTTTAGTACCTTTTATGGATTTAAAATATGTGCCAATTGATACTCAACATGAAACCTTACTACCATTCATTCTGCTCTGTCTATTTTGAGACAGAATTTCTGTATAGTCCAGAATGGCCTTGAACTTAGAGTGGTCCTTCTCCCTCAAACTCCTGCACACTGGGGTTATAGGCATGCACCACCAGGCTCAGATTTCTCCTATTTCTTCATACACTGGTAGAGAGGCGACTGGTTACTGAATGACTACTTTACAATATGACAAGGTCTGCTGAGCACTTTATACACTGAGGCTTACAAATCAGAAATTTTTAGAGATTTCTGTTTTCTTGAAAGGGAATCATTGGTATCCCTGGCTGACCTAAAATTCACTATGTAGATAAGACTGACCTAAAACTCACAGAGACTTACCTGCCTTTGCCTTCCAGGAGTGCTGGGTTAAAGATGGGTGCCATCATACCTGAACACAATTTTTGTTGCTGTTGTTGTTTTTTGTTGAATGAAACAAAAGTCTAACTAAGTAGCCCTGGAAGACCTGGAGCTCACTCTGGCTGACCTTGCAACCACAGAGATCTGTCTTCTTCTGCTTCCCAAATGCTGGGTTAAAGACGTGCACCACAGCACCTAGCCACAATGTTTTTAAGAACAGTGCTGGGACATCTATGTACACCAGGCAAGAGCTCTCTAAATTTTACAGCAGAAAATGAGTCATGAAGAAATCACCTCACAAAGGAATGTAAACTCTCCAAGATGCTCTTGAAGAAGTTTGACCACAGTAAGACTGATCTTTCCATTGCCACCAAAGAAAGCCTCTCGACTGAATGCCCCTTTTCTTTCAAGGGTCCACACATCTATCTCTTCTTGGCAATAAGCGAATGTACAGTGACCAGAATATCGACATTCATCCTCTGCAGCAACATCTGGAAAAGTAGGAGAGTCAGAGACACCTGTTCCAGGGCCAACGAATGGCAAGCACAGTTACAACATCATCTGAACATCCCTAATAATTCAGAGAGCTTCAGGCAAGGACAGCCATCCCTATGGAGCATGGGGTAAGATTCAGTCTCCAAGCAGAAATGTTTAACTGCAATGGGAGAAGACACTTCAATAGTCACACGTATATCCTATTAAGGTTAAAAACCATTTTGTGGGGAAAGTGGGACTTGAGAGGGTAACAGGTGAATATGACCAAAGTAGCTATTACATCTGTATGCAAATGTCATTTTGAATAACGAATAGTGTCTCTCTCTCTCTCTCTCTCTCTCTCTCTCTCTCTCTCTCTCTCTCTCTCTCTCTCTCACACACACACACACACACACACACACACACACACAAATTGGGGGGCTGGAGAGATGCCTCAGCAGTGAGGAACACTCACTGGCTGCTCTTCCAGAGGACCTGAGTCCAAATTCCCAACACCCACAGAGTGGTTCACAACCATCTATATAGTGAGATCTGGTGCCTTCCTCTAGCATGCAGGCTGAATATTGTATACATAATAAATTTTAAAAAATCACGCTGGGAAGATGGCTCAGCAGTTTAGAGCACTGGCTGCTCTTTCAGAGGACCCAGGTTCCATTCCCAGCACCTACATGGTGGTTCACTACCCTCTATAACTGCAGGTCCAAGGGATAAAAATGCTCTTCTGGACTCCTCAGTACCCGAACAAATATATATTCAGATGCACAGACATATACTCAGACAAAACACTTGTACACATAAAATTCATAAATAAAATAAAAACTACAAAAAAATAATAAAGCTGGGTGGTAGTGGTGCACACTTTTAATCCCAGCACTTGGGAGGCAGAGGCAGGAGGATCTTTGTGAGTTCAAGGCCAGCCGGGTCTATAGGAGCTAGTTCCAAGACAGGCGGCTACAGAGAAACCCTGTCTCGAAAAACCAAAAATAAATAAATGAATAAACAAATAAAATCATCTTAGTGGCTGTCTTTTTTCTTTCTTCTTTAGTGGCATTCAAAGCTCACTCAGACAAATCTTAAACCAAAAGGAGAATGCAAACTCTCAGGAGCACTTTCAGAGCTCTATTCCAGGACTGTGGTTCTCAGAGGTGAAACTGGGGCCTCTACTTAAAACCCTATCTAGGCCTTGTCTTCACAAACTACAACATATACTTAAAATGTTAAAACACACACACACAAAACAAAAAAAAAAAAGTAAAAATAGCAGAAAATATGAACTGATCGATTCAAAGTACTGTTTTTCTCCTAACCTAAGCATCTTTTTTTTTTGTCTTTTTTTTGGGGGGTAGGGGGGTGGTTTGAGACAGGATTTCTCTGTAGCTATGGAGCCAGTCCTGGAACTTGCTCTGTAGACCAGGCTGGTCTCGAACTCACAGAGATCCGCCCGCCTCTGCCTCCTGCGTGCTGGGATTAAAGGTGTGCACCACCACCGACTAAGCATTTTTAACAGGAAGTACTGACACAAAAGGAGTCAAGAGTTACAGGAAAACGCCTGGTGGTCAGCACAGAGACTTGCCAAAAGTTGATTAGTCATATAACATACACAATTAAGTAATTACAATAAATACCTTTACATATATAATACGGTCCTTCATAATTTGTTTTTGTTGGTCTTGGACGTATTTTTTTCCATGATTTATCTTCATTTTTTATCCTACCAATTAAAATATCTTTCTTACATTTATGATCAAGATTAGCATGGTAAGTGAAATCCATTAACTTAGGACCTGAAAAAGACATAAAAAAAAGACTGCTCATAGGCAGAACAAACACCTTTTAATTTTATAGGCAGTTTATAAGCAGCCATGAACAGTGGACACTGACTACACAGGCCCCAAATCTAAGGACAGGCTGCTTGAGTAGACTTGTGCCTTTGTCACCAAGTACATACAGTGTTCTACTCAACAGCAGCCCTGTTAAGGCACCTTACTGAGGGAAATGATCCAGATAAGAATTCTAATCGCTCATAAACTAAAAGAAGGCAACAATTTAAATCACTTTTGGACCAGACGCTGCTTGTTTCTTTCCTTGCTGGTTCCTAACATTTCGAGTAGACAGCCGCCAGAGCCAAGGCTGCTTCCACCAGTAACAGCTCCGTAACTTGCATCCTGCTGCCCACTAGTTCAGTGCTGACCTGATTTTACGAAGCAGATCTGGCAAGCTTGTCTCAGCTCGTGGGTTCCTTCGAGGGGGTGCCTAGGAGTCCCTGATGAAAATGGCTTAGCAATCACACTTCCCAACAAGTCTGCATAGTCATTTCTAGGCTGATTTGCAATTCCCAGGAAATTTTCAGAGGGAAACAAACTGCCTGGTCCATTCATCTGCAAAAAGAGTAAGAAAACAAAAACAAAACAAAACAAAACAAAACAGGCAACATATGTTGTACTATCACTAAAGAAAGAACTGAACTCCTGTGGGGGTAGGACGAGGCTGGTGCCATTCCGTTCCCGTGTGCTTCTCTATGACAAATTGCCAGTTTCTGTGTTTTGCTCTTTGGACTCTGGGTCCCCCTAGTAATATCCTCTACGGGCTGTGACTAGGACACGATTGGTCTGCTTCCATGGGACACACATCTTACACACTCTGCTCTCCTATCTCCTTGCTGTTAGGCTACACTAAGTAAAGATTGTACTATCTGTAATGGTGATTATTTTGTACTGACAGATCCAGTCGCACACTCAAACATTTATTACTGGATCTTCTGAATGAGTTTTATAACACGATTCCCCACAGCACACAAAAAATTCAAGGGAGACTTTCACTTTCATTCACATAATTCAGTTACTTAAGCACAGGCCTACGTTCAATTTAAGCGACGTATTCACAAAAGAGGAAGTGAACTTACAAGGAAAAGGGAGGATTTACTGTTGTTAAGCGTTGTTCCCTCTCTAGCAGTTGAGGTGGACAGATCTAAAATAATAAAAAGACTTCAACAGACCTTTTCACTCTACATGGAATCAGCACACAAGGGCTCTGTAGCTGACTGCCTATGGCTTCCCGCAGCTTTCCCATCCCAATCCTATGAGCTTTCTTACTCACTACTGACAAAAGAGAACAGTAGAATCTTCCTTCCAGAGCCAGGGGCATAAATAACCCTTAGCCATTATTGGAGAAATTAACTAAGGCAGGGCCTAGTGAGTAGGATTAAAATCTACATTCCCGCTGAGAACAGCCTCCTCTCTGACAATGAGAGCACAAGGCTCAGGGCTGTCTCATCTTATATTCTGCCATTCAGTTACTCCCTCTGCCATTCCGCATCCCATGGTTCTCAATCTCTCCACTGTAAATATCTAAAACAGAAACTTAGACTTTTATCCTTTAACTATTTAACAATAGCTCCAAAAACTATGAACACTATTTATAGTATGAAGTACAGGCCCTGAATTGTAGGCCCTGGATTTCATCTCTAGCACCCCAGAAAAACAAAAGAAAACTAACAACAACAAAATACCCCAAACCAAGGACTCAGCCTAGTACTGACCAAACTAAGACCTCAGTATTCCATGATAAAATGAGGGTATAGGTTGCTGAACTCAACAGAATTCTAAACCCAGATGTGAAGCTAGTTTTAATGTTTTCCCACTTCACATCCTTTAAAATGGGACAGACTTTTACTGCAGAATACACTTCAAGACATTTACCCAAAACAATGAACACCAGCTTAGCCAATCATACAGCCTAAAACCAGTGCTGCATCCCAGCCTACATCATGCCCTTGCCTCTGACTCTGGGAATATCAGTTACGTGAAGCCAAGTGCAGACCTAAGGGCTCCCTCTTTAGAGTTTAGTCACAGTGAGAACAATTCAAGAAACTGCCACCTAATGCTTTACAAAATTGCCATATACAGTTTCATTTTAGAAAACTGACTGTAATTGTTTATAATTTAGGAGAAAGTCTTACCTCGCTTGGACTCAGTCACTGAAAATGAATTTAAAGAAGAACAGAAGAAATCTTCCAAGGTCGAGGTCAGAGGTGGATACAACTCTGCAAAGGAGGGCAGAGGAGCATACCTTGCACCAATGGGCAAGGTTCCAAGCAGAGATGTTGATGTTCTGAAGGGCAAGCTAGGAGCCACACTGGCTGTTGGGAGGGACCCTCTGCCCAGGGTGGAAGGCTGAAGAGAAGAAATGAAGAGATTCATGAACCTCTCTCATTGGCTTAGCTTCCTGGTTTTAGCACAATAAGGGTTGTGCTGCACAAGAAGGCGGGCTTGCATCCAAATGGAAATGGAAGGAAGTCCAAGACAGCAGTCTTAGAGCAGCTCTGTACAAACACCACGGCAGGATGGACTGAATCCTCTAAAATCCAGTTCACAACTAAAAGACTGAGTCTTGGTGGAGACTGTTTTTTTCTGATTTGTTTGTTTGTTTGTTTGTTTTGAGACAGGCTGTGGTGTAACAGTCCTGGCTGTCCTGGAACTTGCTTTGTAGACCAGGCTGGCCTCAAACTCACTATGTTACCATAGATGACCTTGACTCCCAAATGGTAGGATTACAGGTGTGTGTCACCATGCAGTGCTGAGGATGTAACCCAGGCCTTCATATATGCTATCAAGTCATGAGCTACACTCTTAGCCCTAAACTCACATATTGATTTATTTTATATTTATTTTTAAACTTTTTAAAATTTGCTTAAAAAGGGGGATGGGGCAGCAAGATGGCTCAGAAGTTAAGGCACTTGATGTCAATGCAAACATCATGAGTTTGATTCTAGGACTCTCATGGTGGAAGAGAAGGACCAACTCTTGCAAGCTGTCCTCTCACCTCCCCCACTTCCCCACACATGTGCACAAATAAGTGTAAAAAGACAGAAATTATGTGTGTGGTATATGCATGTGTGGCATGTGTGGAGGCCAGACTGATATTAGAAAGTCCTCAACTGCCTTACCTTATTCTGAGACAGGGCATCTTCTCTAAGGCAAGAGCTCGTTGTTTCAGCTAGGCTGGCTGGCCAGCAAGTCCCTGCACTCCCTAGCTCCAGGTTACAGCAGGCACTACCATGACTGCATTTCACGTGTGTGCCAGGGATCCTAACTCCGATCCTCAAGCTTGCACAGCAAGTACTTTACCCATTGAGGAAACTTAAAAAAAAAAATTTTTTTTAAAAAGAGATTATGTATTTATATGTGTGAATGTTTTGCCTGCCAGAAGAGTTATCAGGTCTTTTGAACTGGAGGTACAGGTATTTGTGAGCCACCATGTGGGTGCTAGGAAACAAGCCTGGGTCCTCTGAAAGAGCAGTAAGTAATCTTAACTGCTGAGCCATCTCTCAGGCCCAAAGTTTAATGTTTTTAAGGGAAGTAACTTGTATGTATGTATGCATCTGTGTGTGTGTGTGTGTGTGTGTGCACTATGTGTGTGCAGTATCTGCAGAGGCCAGGGAGAGCAACAAATGCCCTAGAATTGATGTTATAAACAGCTGTGAGCTGTCATGTGGGTGCTAGGACTCCTAGGACTCAAACCTGGGTCCATGACTCCAGGTCGTGTGTGTGTGTGTGTATGTGTGTGTGTGTGTGTGTGTGTGTGCGTATACACATATATACACCCAAATATGTATATGTACTACTATGTACATATCATCTGATACACACACACACATTGAGTGGGTGGGTGGGTGAGTGAGTGAGTGAGTGAGTGAGTGAGTGAGTTTTGAGGAAGGGTCACATTATGTATGCCTAGCTGGACTGGAACTACTGATATAGACCAGGTTAGCCTGAAACTCACAGAGATCTTCCTGCTTCTCCCTCACAAGTGTTGGGATTAAAAGCATGTGTCACCATGCCTGGCAAAGATTTATCTTTTTAATTGTGTGTGTATGTGGGAGGGGAGGCAGGAGGGGGGTCCTGAATATAAACATGAAGCCAGAACTCAAAGCTCAACCTTAGGTGTCATTCCTGAGGCTCTCCCTACCTTGAGGCTATGCTAGCTGGCCAATGAGTCCCAATCTGCTGTGTCCACTTCTGCAGCTCTAGGATTAGAGCCTTTTTATACTGGCACTGGGATCAAACTTGGGTCCTAATGCTTTTACGGCAAACACTTTGCTCACTGAGCCATCTCCTGAGCTCTAACGCCTATTCTCTATCAGAGTGTAAGGCTAACCTTTGCACTCCAGAAACACTCATCAACTTCTACCAGCACACTCTTTTATTTCAGCAATGACCATGCTATCCAGTTATCTGTTATCTCCTAAGAAGAAGCGAAGAAAATGTCAAGGTAAGAAAGTCAAAGGGAATCCTAGAAGCAATACAAATTATCTACCACACTGCATTATACTTTAAACAGGAGGAACTATGTCCTTGAGAAGAGAAAGTAGGGTTGAGGAGATAGTTTAGAGGATAAAGTGCTTGCCTTGTAAGCATGAGGACATGAGTTCAATGCCTGGAACCGCTGTTAAAAGTATAAAAATAGCTGGGTGGTGGCAGTGCATGCCTTTAATCCCAGCATTCGGGAGGCAAAGACAGGTGGATTTCTGTGAATTCGAGGCCAGCCTGGACTACAGAGTGAGTTCCAGAACAGGCTCAAAAAGCTACAGAGAAACCCTGTCTCAAAAACAACAACAACAACAAAAAAGTATAAAAATAAATGAAAATTTTAAAAGAAAGAAAAAACTAAACCAAGCAGGAGAGATGGCTCAGCAGTTAAGACCACTTCTCTTCCAAAGACCTGAGTTCTGTTTCCAACACCCATATGGGGTGGCTTAGAATTGCCTGTAACTCCAACTCCACAGGATCTGATACCCTCTTCTGGTTTCCACAGGTGATGTAGGTAGGTCTTCTATCTGTCTGTTGCTTTCATTGGTTAATTAATAAAGAAAACTGCTTGGCCTGATAGGTCAGAGCATAGGTAGGCAGGGAGACAGAACAGAATTGTGGGAGAAAGAAAGGAGAGACAGGAGGACGCCGTGATTCTCCGACCCGAGATGGACGTAGGTTAGAATCTTCCCAGTAAGCCACCACCTCATGGTGCTACACACATTATTAAAAGTGGGTTAATAAGCCAGGCGATGGTGGCACACACTTTTAATCCCAGCACTCGGGAGGCAGAGGCGGGCGGATCTCTGTGAGTTCGAGGCCAGCTTGGGCTATAAGAGCTAGTTCCAGGACAGGCTCCAAAGCTATAGAGAAACCCTGTCTCGAAAAACAAAAAACAAAAAAAAAAGGGTTAATTAAGATGTGAGAGTTAGCCAAGAAGAGGCTAGATATAATGGGCCAAGCAGTGTTTAAATGAATACAATTTGTGTGTTGTTATTTTGGGTGTAAAGCTAGCCATGTGGGAGCCGGGCGGGAACACAGTCTGCCGCTCCTTCTACACATAGGAACAGGTTTCCACATGTCACAAGCACCTCTCACATGTACATAGGCGCACAAGCGTGCACACATACACACCACCACCCACACTTTTTAAAAAGGGAATTAAATAGGAAACTAAACAGTGAAACTCACCATGACAGCATCATTTGTTTCTGGGGCAGAATCAAGGAGATCGTCTATGTCATCCCCAAGGATAATGTCTCCATCATCTACAAAGGTGTCTGGTGGCATAAAGGCGTACTTCCCTCCATTTGCAAACACTGCGGATGGCAGTGGGTTCTCATCCACTTGCAAAACAGAAGTTCCAGGCATAACAGGAACTGAGGCCAGCTCACTCCCAATGTCATGAGGAAAACTGGACATAGGAAGGGAGACAACTGGAAGTGCTTCTTGCCTTGGGGTTAATAAATCTGCAATATACATAGAAATTTACTCACTCCAAGCCACTGTATTTACAAAACAGGAGTGCTAATGGCCAATAACAGAAGGTATGAAGGCTAGGTGAAAATATGAACACAGTCAGTCTCGCTTTCATCCCACAGCAATCTCACTTGACAATACTATATAATAAACACACTCTAGAACTGGCAAACTGGCAAGCATATTTCAGAGGATTAAGATGACAAGAAAACATACCTGGCTCAATATCTTCCACAGAATAGTTCACAGCCTGGAAATTAAACCAATAATGATCATGTTTTCAAGATTCTAAACTATAAAACAGTCAGTAAAACTCATCTTACAAGACTGATGTAGATTTGCAAAGACATTTGACTAAGATATGAGAAATCAAAAGAACATTCAAACCACTTATCTCCTACTCTTTTTGTTATTTTGAGACAGGATCTCATTATGTAGTCCTGGTTGGCCTAGAATTCACAGAGATCCAGCTGCCTCTGCCTCCCAAATGCTGGGATTAAAAGGTGTGCACCACCATGCCTTGCTTCTTCTCTTGAAACAATCTCTTGTAGCCCAGGATGGCCTCAATTTCAGGATATAGCTAAGGATGACCTTGAACTTCCAGTCCTCCTGCCTCCCTATCTGGGATTACCAGGCATCATCAGGCAGGGCTTTGTTTTCTTTTGAAGACAGATCTGTGTTGTCCTTGCTCACCTTACACTCTTGGGATCGCAATAGTGCACTTCTAGCAGACATGCATTTCTCAAAAGGATATTTAGATGGGAACAGGGACTAATCCAATCACTGTCCACCAACCCCTCACAATGACTAGTGCCATTCCAACAACCATAAGACTTTAAAGTTTTAAAAATGAGAAAGAGACATGGTTTTATTCTGTAGTGCTGACTGGTCTGGCATTCTATGTAGACCAGGTTGGTCTTGAACTCACAGGGATCCTCTTGCCTCTGCCTTCTGAGACCTGAGACTAACAAATCTATTAGCCATTCCTGACAAGTTTTTTCTTAATTAGATTTATTCATTTCAATGTTATCTGTATTTTGCTTGTGTTGTGTAGGTATGTATACCACATGAGTGCTTGGCGTCCTGGAAGGTCACAAGGTAACATCAGGACCCCCTAGAAGTGCGGTGTGGAAACCACTGTATGGGCACTGGGAGCCACCTGGGTCCTGGTCCTCTGAAGAGCACCAAGTGCTCCTGTCTTTTTTTGTGTGGCTAATTTCTTGTTTAAACCCCAATGTCTCTCAAAACTAGTATCTGGCTTTGATCTATGATTTTCAAAGAAAACTGAGCATCTGTTCACATCCTGTCACATGCTCCAGTGGCCTGTGGGAAAGCTGGCTCAGATTAAAGTACAGTACTTGAATTGTTTTGTTCTCTAAAGTGACAGGAAGAAAAATAAATAAATAAATAAATGACAGGAAGCCATGGCCAGTTTCATGTCTGAGGCATCAAAACTACACTAAAACTACAAAAAGCACAGTTGCTAAGTCTGCCAGCCCTTCTTCTCTCAGAAGCATGATTCTTGTATAGATAATAACCCTACCTTGGAAGCCCCATCTCCTGGAACTGGCTTCAGAGAGAGCTGAAATAAAATGAAAATGCAATTTCAAAACAGAACCGACTCAAGATTATACAACAAAATGAAAAAGCCCTGAGAGAAGTTTGACTTACCTCAGCTCTAACATATGCTTTCCTTATTTTAAATCCCAATTTCTTAGCTAATTCTTGAGTTAGTTTTATTACATGTTCATCCTAAAAAAAAAGCCAACATTCATGAATGTATCTGCAGTGAAACAATCAAACAGGGCCGTGACGTTTCCCAGCTAGACACTTGGTTTACTAGGTATCACACTCAACTGGAGCAGGCTGATGGCTGCAGGAAGTCCTGATTCTTTCACTTGCCATTTCTCCACGTGAGAGCAGTAAAACATTTGATGCAAACAAGTGAGCTGAAGAGTCCATTACATACCTGAGGCACTGCTAAGGAGCACTTTGCTACAGCATCATAGGCCTCTTTGTAGCGCCCTAAGTCACTTAAAGCCTTAGATTTCCGATACAGAGCCTTGCAGTTACTGGCATTAATACTGAGGACAGCATTACAATCTTCCAAAACTTTATCATGGAAACCCTGGTGGGAAAGGCCGAAAGAGGAAGCCAGAGTCACACAATTAATACCTCACTCTGATGCCTGTTTCAGACATGAAAACAAATACGTGACCACATTCTATGACTCTCAACTTAAATTCAAAGTTCACAATGTTATTTTTCATTTCCGTCATTTTGTTAGGATGTTCCACATACATAAAAGTGGGAAATTATCATGAATATCTATGTACTTCCTATCCTGTATCAGACAAATATGAGTACTTGGTCAGAGAGCCCTATGTCTCCAAGGAAGAAAGCTTCTGGGACATGACTGGTACCCCAGTGTCATAATCTACCCGATTTCCTCTCATTATCAGCACTGCTTTTTAAATCCATTAAAGATGTCAAATGTGGAGGCTGGGGAGATGGATCGCAGTTAAGAGTACTGGCACCCTTCCAGAGGACTCAGGTTCAATTCCCAATGTCCACATGGAGGCTCACAACATCCTCCTCTGGCTGCACAGGCACCAGGCAAACATGGCAGTGCACAGACACAGGCAAAACACTCAAACACATATACATATGGTACACGTACGTGCATGCTGGTAAAAGGTAAAACAAAATAAATAAATCTAAAAAATACATTTTTAAAGTCATGTGAGGGGTTAGTGAGATGGCTCACCAGGTAACCCTGATGACCCAAAGCTGCCTCTGATTGCTACGCTCTCATTCTCTCTGCCCTATAATAAATAAATAAAGTGGGTAACTACAGTAATGATAGTATGATATGTATGTATATAAAATGTGTATACGTATACGCATAACTTTTTTTTTTTTTAAGGCAAGGTTTTACTGTGTAACCCTGGCTGGCCTCAAACTCAGAGATCCATCTGCCTCTTCCTCCCAAATACTGGGATTACAGCTGTGCGCCACCACTGCTCAGCAGTGTGCTTAGAAAGAGGCTGGGGGGAGCTCAACGATGGAGTGCTTGCCTGGCATGTGCAGGCCCTATATTTCAATCTCAGCCCTGTAAGGAATAAAACAAAATTTCTTATTTAAAAAAAAAGGGGGGGGGGGGAATAGAGAGATGGCTCAGTGGTTAAGAGCACTGACTGCTCTTCCAGAGGTCCTCAGCTCAATTCCCGGCATCCACATGGTGGCTCAAAACCATCTATAGTGGGATCTGATGCCCTCTTCTGTCATAAAGGTGTACTTGCAGATAGAGCACTAATATACATAAAATAAATCTAAAAAAAAAATAAATAAATAAAAATACTGCAAATTTATCTTGCAAGAGATTGTTCTTGGCTGGCACCTGGAAGTCCTCCAAGACTACAGAAATACAGCAACTATTCTTTGTAAAAAGAAAGTTAAAGAATAGAAGAAAAAAAGGGAGGGCTGGAGAGATGGCTCAGAGATTAAGAGCATTGTCTGCTCTTCCAAAGGTCCTGAGTTCAATTCCCAGCAACCACATGGTGGCTCACAACCATCTGTAATGAGATCTGGTGCCCTCTTCTGGCCTGCAGGCATACACACAGACAGAATATTGTATACATAATAAATAAATAAATAAATAATTTTTAAAAGGGTTATAGAAAAAAAGGGATTGTTCGTGCTTACACTAAAAACAGATGTTCTTTCTCTGATCTGAACACTGTATACTGCACATACATCACATACCACATGAGACCCACAAACCTCCACTGCTGACATGTCAATTTTAAAAGTAAAATGTAAGTAGCTCTCAAATAGCTTATTAACCAGGGACACATTATAGAAAGCAACATTAGCCACCCATGAGCACACATGCACAGTGCAGCTCAGTGGTACATGCCTAGTACCATGCTATGGCCTTAAAAGCATAGGGGCTAGGCTCCACACCTAGTCCAGGGCAAAACTTAGGAAAATGGCCTCTTATTAATATATTACAGCACTGAAGAAAATGCTCTAGAACTCACCATATTAGAATAGCAGGCAATACGATTTATATGAAGTTTTTCAATGATTTCTTTAGGAATTAAAATTTCTTCAGACTTTGCATAATCAGCTATACTCAAAGCTTCCGAGTACTGACTTAGAGAGCTACTCCAATCACATTCCCGATAAGTATCATTTCCTTCATTAAAAAGATTTCTCACGAGAGCATGCAAATACACCTAAAAAGAGAAAATTACCTCTTGAAGCCAGAACAAGGTAAGACAGAAGTAAATATCATGTTTATACCTAAAACCTCAGAGAGCACTGCTGTAGGAAAGTCTGTCGCTGCTGCCTTGCTAGGAAGTTCATCTTTCCTACTTCTGCAAGAGAAAATACACTCTCCCTATGAAAAAAAACAGGGTCAAAAATACTTTTTAAGTGTACTGTGTACATCTCTGATTCTGGGCAGGTAATAGACACTTGGCACAGTCCTCAGTCAAGAGAGTACAATTTACATTTATAGCTTCAAATCTGTTGTCATCCTCCTGCCTCCGCTTCTCAAGAGCTGAGATTACAGGTATGAGCCACCACACCCAGCTTTGGTTTAAGTCTTTGACTTTCTTTTACAAGTCTTTCTGAAAAGGCAACAGTAATAAAGACTTTCATGTGCTGCTACACAGCACACTAGGGAGCGTGTGCATGTAGGTATGCACACATGCACAGTACCCTTTAGTATTTTCACGTCTTTACCAAAACAGTCAAACCTTTCCACATTTTTAACACATCATTTACATTTCATGTTTAAAAACATTTTGTCACTTGTGGAGACTGGGAGGAGTAGTTTTATGCATGCGACTGTGAAAAAGAATTTGGGAGTCAGACCTCTCCTTCCATCATGCGGGACTCATTCAGGTCATTAGGCTTGGTGCCTGGCGCCTTCCCATGCTGAGCCATCTCTCTGGCCCTGTATTTCTTCTTTTACAAGCTATTTCCTTAGATTGTTGCCTGATTTATGGGAAGGAGATAAGGCTAATAATTTGCTTACTAAGAGACTATACCTATTTTTCGATATGTACAAAAAAATGCCTTGATATTCTAAGAGACCTTTTCTATCACAAGATCCTAATATGCACACATTTAAAATGCCTAGACTGTTAAGGAACAACCAGGCATCAAGGCCTGATGTGGTCTATGATGTGTCACACAACCTCTGTGGGCCCAGCTCCACATGCGGGAGAACAAAAGGATTTTCCAGATATTTCGGCCAAAGACTTAAGACTTCCCTCATGAAAATAGGGAGGAAAAGAAGCTGAACACAGGAGGAGGAGGAATGTGGACACTTGCAGACACACATCCTCAGAGATGAGAAGCAATGGCCTTCTTCTCCCTGTGCTTGGCCAATTCAACCCAGCTCTTCCCTCCCATTCTTTAGACAACCCTCCTTCAGTGCCACCAAGACTTATCAAGATGAAAATGATGACACCCACATTCTCTGTTCAATTCCACCCCATGTGTAATTGATGAAACAGTATTGACAGAGGGCTCTAAATCCACACTAACTCAGAATACACTAACACAGGAAAGAAAATACAGGACAATTGTCCCAAAAAGTCCCAAAGGCTGTTCTATATAGAAGAGATTGGCAAGCTTTTCCTATAAATGCCAAAAAGTGAGCATTTAAAGCACTGTGGGGGGCTGGAGAGATGGCTCAGTGGTTAAGAGCATTGCCTGCTCTTCCAAAGGCTCTGAGTTCAATTTCCAGCAACCACATGGTGGCTCACAACCATCTGTAATGAGGTCTGGTGCCCTCTTCTGGCCTGCAGACATACATACAGATAGACTATTGTATACATAATAAATAAATAAATAAATAAATAAATAAATAAATAAATAAATAAATAAATGAAAAAAAATAAAAAATAAAGCACTGTGGGACACTTAAGTTCTGTCCTATGTCCCAAAGTGCCACAGAGAACACATAAACAAATGGCTGCAGTTGCAGTATTCTGATAAAGCTTTATTTGTGAAAGAGGGTAGCTGGTCAGGGCAGCTGTGACACAAGGCCAGAGTTTACTAAATCCTGCTGCAGATGATAATTCTTAAACTACTGTGACTATCCACAGCTCTTCCCAAAGTCATTACCGCATATTGCTCCTGGGTCCCTGGATATGACAGCGGAGACCTGAGAAGAAGAAACAAATCCATTGTAATTACCAAGATCTACTGGAAGTCTTGTTCATTTGTTCTGAGACAGTACCCTGATGGACATGGAACTCACTGAGATCAGCCCACCTCCACATCCCACGGGCTGGGATTGCAAGAATGCTCCACCCTGACAGGCTCCCTAGCAGCATTACTCAGCCAGAAGTTATCTTAAACTGTGCTTTTTAGGGGCTGGAGAGATGCTCAGTAGTTAAAAGTATTTGCTGCTCTTGCAGAGGACCCTGATTTCAGTTCCCAATAACCATATGGCGGCTCAAAGATCCAAAACTCTCTTCTGGCTTCTGAATGCAGAATTCCTATTCTGCTAAGTGCTAAGATATGTCTCCTCCCCAAAAGGACCAGAGACCCTTCTGCCTGAACATGTCTCTGAACAAAAGCTGTTTGTCACTGGTGCTGTTCCTAACAGCAAAGCCCAACAGCCAAAGCCTTCTGTGCTGCAGATGTTCACTCCAGATGTTTAATTCGCCAGAATGCTTCTTATGGAAATACATCCCAATTCTTCAGACTAATTTGGGGGAAGGGGCTGCAACATCAGGGCTGTAGCCCTAAAAATATAAAAATATTTTTTAAAAAAAAAGGGGCGCC